CAAGAAAGAACTTTATTACACAGATTTTTAAACATTTTAAAAGATGTTTAATTTAATTCTTTATTGATTTATAGAGTATAAATCACTGTCTTCTGTCATTGGGCTCTAATTATAATTATTTACACTTATAGGCATCTTTGGACTGAAAATCAGACCTCTTTATGGAAGGCATCCGTAAATAAAAACAAACTACTATTAATCACCCCCTTAGCACCGCCTTATGTAAATTATAAAATTTAATAGTAATATATGGTGTAATCTTGAGTGTAAAATGTCTCAGATTTGTAACAAAATGTGAAAATACTGGGATTTTTTTATCATAACTATTGCTTAATACTGAAACAAATGTGTAAAAATAAAATTTGAAAAGCATTGTGTAACTATGTAAATAACGAGTGAAATACAAATTTTTCACAAAAGTTAATAATATATTATTTGTCATAATTTTATTTAAAGATATGTTTCTTATAATCGAACTATTTATTTTGTTTATACGCACTGACCACATTTGATTTGTAGTTTATTAAAATTCCTTCCTGTTCTATACTCTATGCTAAGTGCAAACTGCTTTGTAAAGCTAATGGACGTCAGATCTTATTTCAGTAAAAATGGTCACTTTGCCATCTTAAATTATTATGATAATTTGATATAATATTCTTCATGAATCATTCTTTTTATCAATTATCAGAGTTAAAATTGGTAAGGCTATATGTTAACACCAGCTAATATTGGCTCCATAACGTCAAATATTGGCTTCGTACGGCTATTATTGCTAATATTGGCTTAGTATCAGCTAATATTGGGTAATGTATATGCTTGTATTGGCTTCGCTCCAGGTTATACATATTGGCTTAATCAATCAATCACGTAGTAAGTTTAGCTGACAAATCGTTTTCTGAAAAGAATGGTACAAAATCGGCGTTTAAACTCTTTTTTCGCCATGTGTGTGTGTGTGTGGGGGGGGGGGTGTATATTAAAGAGTATTGCATGTGTTTTTATAAAGATACTTATGACAACATTCAATTATCAAAACAACACTCACAGTACCCAGTATTCGATTAATTTTAAAGAAATATTATTATGAATTATAATTATAAAAGTGATAAAAAGAGCCGGAACAAGAAAAAATATCCTAAAAAATAACACAAAAGGACATTAACAGAGATGTTAAGTACTCGTGTCGCTAACCGCTATAAGCAACTGTAAGGAAAAGAGGTAGGCTACCACTGATAGGGTTAGAATAGTAAACAATGATATACGAAAACATAAATCATATTTGCTTTGATTAATATTCAAGAATAAGGATAAGTAGTGTCGAGAAATCTTTATTCAAAGTACATGTCCGTCCAACATCTAAGTCATCATTCAGAAGAGCCTAAATGGAATTGTCGTGTGAAGAAAAGAAGAACTTTTGTTCAGATGGTTATAACGGTTATAATATGTACCCTTGAATACTTTCAAAATAGTTTTCTTCTTAAAATGGTGAATCACATTTATATCTAAAAGACGTATTGTAATAAAAAAATACTGGTTATTTTTATTTTTTTATTCTTATTCGACTACATTGACTTGTGAATGGGTCAATATCAAGTATATTTGCTTTCACAAAAACATCTACATACACATTACAATACCATTTAAACTATGTTACAAGTAAACGACTTCCTAACATTAAATTTGGAAAGAAAAGATTCATTCACTGCTTTATTTTCGATAAAATAAAACTTGATACAAAACATACATGTACATATACATCTCTTCAGAAACAACATATTTACTTGTACAATACGATATACAAACCCTGATTGCAAAACCTGTTAAATTAGATATTCAAATATTTGTTTCTTGATTTCTTTCACGTACATACGACTCGTATTACTAATAACATGACTGCTTATGCCTACTTTTAGATTCTATGATAAAAAGCAAATTTAGAACATAATGACGTAAAATAATACCGATTATATGCACAAAAGGAATGTCATCAAATGTTATTCTGCTTTTCAGCACCTGATGCCACATAAGATACATTAATTATCTTGCAATATTGAACACTTATACTTTGTTATACATCTATAATAACTTAATATACACAAACTTACTATGTACATGTACACATATAATTATATGATATTATTATTCCATGCTGAGTTCAATATTGATTATATTGGACTCCTCCACAGGTGTTAAGCCTATATCTGACTCGGCTAGCACCTCGTTAAAATAAAGTTCTGCCAACTGTGCTCTCGTACAATAGAATTCATATTGTTCTCAACAAGGAATGATAACATCATATTATTGTCCAATAGAATCAGTCTTGTTTTATGTGGCCACACCACCATTTTTTAACATTTTGACCAAACTTTGTTACTTCAAGTAAAATAAGGATTTATTCAACTCTAAAACAATGAAAACTTGGCAAGATAAAGCATGCTATTTATGTATTTCATATACAGTTTTTTGACTCGAATAAAAACGAGGCTATATGGGCAAAGATACTGATTTGATATTGATTTTTTTGGACTCTGGAAATGAAAACGTGGCTAAATTTATAAAATTTTAACAAATAATGATTGCCATTGGAATATTACGTTGTGCAAACGCTGAAAGTTTATAAAAAATTATGTAATATTTCATGTCAAATGATACTTTTTTTTCGAAAGGTTAAGTTATATTATACATCTAGCTATGAATTGGCTTGGTAGCAAATCAATACAAATAATACAAAAAAGTATTAAAAAAACTAGTTTTTTTTCTTGATTTCTTTTAATAAACACCATCAATACAAAAATATTAATCACGTAAAGAACACGAGGCATATCATTACAAGAAACGTAAATTTCTTTCATCAAGTGATATTAAGTTTAATAAATTTATTGATCATTTACTATTAAAAGAATAGTTATCCCTTCAAGAGAAATTCAACATCAAAATTCGTTTAAAAATGATTGAACTTTTGTTCAATATGACTTATGACTAAACAAAAGTCTTTGATATGTATGATTGCAAAGTAGGTGATTTATATTGATTAAATGCATTTATATTCTACATACAACGTTACCCTTATGCACCATGTAATGTTCATAAATTGAGCTGCGTCACGACAAAACAACCAAATAATGGGTTTGCGACCAGCATGGATCCAGACCTGCCTGCACATCCGCGCCGTCTGATCAGGATCCATGCTGTTCGCTTACAGACCATATAACAAGTAGAGAAACTGAAAGCGAACAGCATGGATCCTGATCAGACTGCACGGACGCGCAGGCTGGTCTGGATCCATGCTGGTCGCAAACCCATTATGCTGGTTTTTTCGTGAAGCGGCTCAATTAATGATTTAATCCGCCATAAAGGAGAATCTAGCTCTGCGACGAAAGAGGACCAAGATCAGCCGCCATGCCCATGCTGACTGACCATGACCTTCACCTTTTGCTATTTAGTTAGTACGTTTACTAGTATAAAAATCTCCCCTAAAAATGATAAATAGCTATAAACAGTCTATTTAAAATAGGAGGTAGTAAACGTGCTGTAGGTAAATAAGTGGTAATGAGCAATTTTGTGTATAAAGATATTATCAGTATCTTCAATTATTTGGTTACATTCTTTCTAAGAGTTTAAAAAAGTGAATATTTGTGTTGTTTGGTGTCATTAAAAAATTTATTCCTATCTTGATCAAAGTCAGCTCTAACTTGTAAGAGTTATGTTTCCAAAATTCCAATACAGCGACAAACCAGTGCGCAATATCAACGCAAAAATGATATATCAATAATTTGCAAATACTGTGCCATTAATGGGATTTAGGAAAGCTGTGAACGCGATAAATATTACATTTGCACGCAATATAGTATAACATGACCTCGCCATAGCTTAGCTTAAACGAATTTATTTAAGCTCAATAGCGACACAAGTTCTTGCAATTTATATTAATCACGTCCAAGTCTGCATCCTAGAGCAAACCAGTACCGGTGTTATATAAAGATACATGATCGTGACCCGAGTAGGGCTCAAACCAATGACCCTTGGGTTGAGAGGCAGACATCTTAACCTCTAGGCCACCACTCCACTCTATTTTCTTTCGTGTACATGTTATAGCTATTGCGTGATCCCGCAATATGTGATTAAGTGCTCAAACAATATGTATTAAGTGCACACGCGTTAATATTACGTAGGTATGCATCGCGTGGTCTTTCAAGTGTGCATGATATAATTATCGCGTGTGCATGTAAAAGCTATTGCGAATGCACATAAAAGCTATTGCGTGCGCGCGTAATAACTACCGTAAAACCACGTAATAGTTGACGCATGCGTACTTAATAATAAATAAAAGTTTTCATATGTCCTCTTTGTGACATCGTATGTTGGGAAATGCTATCTAGCTTGTTTTATATGTGCATGTAATCAACTCGTGCAGTAAAAAACAAGATACAAATATGACTAATAGAATATGAAAAGTTTTACAATCTCCTTCTTATTTATCACCAGCTGAACCATTATTCGCTTTTGTCAATCTTCTTTAAAGACGTTTCTAATGGTTACGAATTACAGGTAAATAAGCCTTATAATTATTGTTATTTTCGTGACCTGTCGAACAAAAGTTATGAAAAAAATTAGGCTTTCTGATAATAATACCTATTAATTATATACATATTGATTACTTCTGATCATCATCATCATCATCATCATCATCATCATCATCATCATCATCATCATGATAATCATCATCATCATCATCATCATCATCATCATCATCAACAAAAGAAAGCTAATACTAGATCTACCAATACTTAAAGTAAAGGAAACCTCAACATTTACACCGAATCAAAATCCGTTTAAACGACTTTCTGAATTCCACGCTGCTAAAGTTATACAAGATTGGGTTTATTGTTGAATTGAAATATGCCATCCAAAAGGCCATATTGAGCACTTGCTCCGGGACTATTGTCGGGTCTATGATACTGATATCAAAAACGATATGAAACGGCAGCCAAAGTACCGCGTACCCAATCATTATATATGTCAATGTTACAAACACTTTACGGTCTCGAGCCATCCGATTGTCAGCTCCCGGGATAGTCCGATTGTCCTCAGACCCTGAAGCCGCTTCTGATGATACTGTCATGCCGTTTTCAGGCACTCTAAGGTAGCTGACAGTCACGTGATTATTCGAAAATTCTGTTGATCTGTTAGTAGATGGTGGTGGCGAAAATGCTCTGACAGGCTGTACTTTTAATATTCTCGGTGTTTGTACCGGCCTTGAAATACTGGTCTGGTTAACACTTTGTGTATTTTGAACTTGTGTAGATGACTGAGATCTTGCTATTGTGGTGTCTACAATTTTTCTGCGTTTATGCATGAACAAGAACACGTGAGCGTAGCAGAAAATCATGATGCAATACGGGCCATGGTGACCAAGTATGGCAACGATAAACACGAATTCCTTGTTTAATGATGGATCCCAAAAGCAGGTTCCCGGCTCGCTGTACCTTACCCTATCTAATACCCATGGTGGTACCCAAAGACTCAACATAAACAACCTGAAATATGAATAATCATAAATGAGAACGAAAAACATTTTTATTGAAAACTAATGCAAAGTATTATTACGAATATACGATTATCTATTGATAAAACGCTAATAAAGAACTCCCTCTATTCCCTTTACACTAGTTATGATGTGTGATTTATACACTTAAACAGTTGTCCTGGAAGAGAAAATGTGTTGTTGAAATTTCCCTTTTTTAAAAAAAAAAATCCCGTTTTACAACGTTTCTCTGATAAAATTCAATAAATCGATAATTCATTAATGACCTTATGTTCAAAATATACAACATTCACGCCATATTGAAGGTTTAATTAAACTTTTTAAGTATTTCAAGAAATGAAAGACTTTGTAATGATTGTATCAACTATTCAGATATGTTATTCAGAACTGTTATTTTTCAAAAGAAGGTCTGTTATACAATGATATAGTACTGATCACACATAACAATAATTCGTGAAAGAATTATACATTGATATTGTTGTCAAGTGTGAGATACATGTTTCGATATTACATGTGAGCCGCGTCACGACAAAACCAACATAGTGGGTTTGTGACCAGCATGGCTACAGACCAGCCTGCGCGTCCGCACAGCCTGATCAGGATCCATGCTGTTCGCTTACCAACCCTATTACAAGTAGAGATACTGATAGCGAACAGCAGGGATCCTGATCAGACTGCACGGATGCGCAGGCTGATCTGGATCCATGCTGATCGCAAACGCACTCTGTTGGTTTTCTCGTGACACGGCTCATATGTTTAATGTAGCAGATAATGAATTGTTCAACAACAAAATATCAGTATTCATCAAAAAATATTCTTACTATATCACTTACAACTTAATCAACATATATTTTTCTTTCAAGCAACATTTTATAAAAAAAAATGTTTCTAACTGATTTCTTTATCAATATTTGAAATACTTATGAAAAATGTGCTAATTGTAGAACAGCTGTTCTCTAACGTCTATTATAATTAACATTATTACATTTAGAAACTAACCATTGACAAAATGGCCTATTGACCCCGAGTCAATAATTTCAAAAGTCCATTATATAAATAAAAAAACAAAGTACAACATATCTTACCACACAAAAACAATAGAAATGATGCATTTTCGTTTTGTATGATACGTTCTATAATGAACACTCCACTTGACGCTCCAATATCTGTCCACTGATATAAGAATCAATGTGAATACTGATACGAATGTCATACCTGAAATTATATTAGAATCAATGTAAATCCTGATGAAAATCTTATTCCTTATATCACATAAGAACAGATGCACAAATTCCGACACAAATGACATGTCTAAAATCTAAAATATCAATGAAAATACCAACGCAAAGGCCATACCTGAAATCTAAAAGAATCAATGTAAATACCGACGTAAATGTCATGCCTGAAAACATGAAATCAATGTTTTAACCAATGCAAAGGCTATAATACCTGAAATCTAAAAGAATAAACATTGCATTTAAAAACCAACGCAAATGCCATACCTAAATCTAAAAGAACCAATGTTAATACCAATGCAAATGTAATAAGAACCAATGTTAATACCAACGCAAATGTAATACAAAAAAATCAATGTAACTATCAACGCAAATGACATGCCTGAAATTTAAAAGAATCAATGTAAATATCGATGCTTATTTCTTACCTGAAATCTATAAGAATTAATGTAAATATCAACGCAAACGTTATACCTGAAATCTTAAATAATCAATGTTAAACTAGAAATCTACCAGATTGTTCATTATTTCTAATGGATCAAGCAAAAGTATTGTAATTACTATATACCTTCATTATATGAGCCGTGTCACGACAAAACCAACGTAATGGGTTTGCGATCAGCATGGATCCAGACCAGCCTGCGCATCCGCGCAGTCTGATCAGGATCCATGCTGTTCGCTTACAAACCCTATTACAAGTAGAGAAACTGATAGCGAACAGCATGGATCCTGATCAGACTGCGCGGATGCGCAGGCTGGTCTGGATCTATGCTGGTCGCAAACGCACTATATTGGTTTTGTCGTGACACGGCTCAATTATTCAGTATAACATATCAGATATAGGGTAAAACAAATTGTGTTATTTTCACAAAACAAGATATTGAATCAAACATTCACGTAGATGCCGTGTCTGTTATTGTAATGATCTACATTTGACCAAATGAATACGACAAGACTTGGTTCAAATAAAGTTTATGAGATAGAAACTGGAGAGGTAATTCAAAAAATCAATTGCAAAGAGGTAGCCCGTGCCGCTGCAAAACAGAAAGTAGGGTGTTTTTTATGAATTCTACATTTATTTTTGATAGATAACTGCAATTTTGCTGAAGATGATATATAAATGAACACTGTAATATGAAATATATGTCGAGGCGGTGGGCAAGGCTAGACTTGTCGATTTTATGTAGCTTATTGTGAAGTTACAATAATTGAAACATCGGCACATGAAAAAACAACACATTAATAGAATAAACTAGTGTTCCGTAGTTTTCTACTTTACCACATGATACACGTCCTTTCCTCGTTACAATGAAATTTCTTTGGATTGTTATCCATTGCTGGTTTGTTTTGAGCAGAGAATGGCCTGTATATGTGCAAAGAGGGTACTGTTTGAGTAAATATCGCAAAGAGGATACCGATATAGATATGCACCGTGGTCCTACTAAAAATGTCCGAGCTTGCCCATCAAATATAAATGTGGAAGTTAAACCTGTTCAATTGGCAAACGGGGTAGAATGAATCACATGTTTATGAAAGATGTTTTCGGTTTATTATAAAAAAAACACTTAAGTGTCTTAATGCAATGTAAACACCCTAAAATTTTCTAGAATTCACTATTTTTTACCTCCAGTTTCAAATATCTTGCCCTGTCAACGGGTGGAAAAAACTTTCCCGCATTTATCCTAACACGCTACTCTGGCCGCGTCAATCGCAGATTCTGTTGCAAACCGGAATTCTTTGATCGACTCCTGGCTATCTTAACCAATCATTAACTCGTTGATTTTTTTTTAATAAACGTGTCCTCTTTTCCATATTTAGAACTATATATTATCTGTTTTCCTTGTCATATCTAGATGACATTTTGAAGGCCGTCAATCAACAGAAAAGAGCAAGTTAGGTAATGAAATTCATTGATTTACAAATTTGTGAAGAAGTCAGCGGCTTGTGATCGAAGGCGTTATGAAACGTTTTGGAAAATATTTTTAAAATCTTAAATAGCTTGCTGCTCAACCCCAATTTGTATTGTGTAAATGCTGGTCTACATACATAATGATAATATATCAAATAAATATGTTTAAACCAAATTCAAAGGATTGTTATCATTTATTCATGCATTTTGTCAATTGTCAGTTTTACATATGCCAATGTCTTCTTAGAATGGATACATATTATTGATTCAACATGTTAACAGCAAAAGGAATTTACCTGTTGTACATTTTTACCTAATGATCTGATCAGTTTTAGCATGTCTTTTAATATTAGCAACGGAAAGAAGTGAAAAACAAATTACTACCAAATGACATCACAGGATGCTACCGGAATGAACATATTCAGTCGCAATATCATCTGAACAAAAACACAAGTGATCCATTAGAAATATTGACGTGTTTCTTCGTGTGCAACATTAAGAGGTTAATAAACCAAAGAGCAGAATCGGTAGGTTCAAGTAAATTATAATTTCAAGCCCTAGGACATTACTTATTCAGAGCCAATATATTTATGGGAGATCATTCAGGGCCAGTACCCATGGGACAATATTTATTCAGGGCCTGTGCCCCTTGGACAATACTCATTCAGGGCCTGTACCCCTTGGGCAATACTTATCAAGGCCCACTACCCCTTTGAAAATCCCCATTCGTGGCCAGTACCTATGGGATAATACTCATTCAGGGCCAATAACCCTTGGAAAATATTCATCCGGGGCCAGTACCCCTTGGACAAATACTTACTACGGGCCAGTATCCCTTGGACAATATTTATTCAGGGCCTGTGCCCCTTGGACAATACTCATTCAGGGCCTGTACCCCTTGGGCAATACTTATTCATGACCTGTATCCCTTGAACAATACTTATTCATGGCATGTATCCCTTGAACAATACTCATTCAGGGCCTGTACCCTTTGGGCAATACTCATTCAGGGCCTGTACCCCTTGAACAATACTCATTCAGGCCTGTACCCCTTGGGCAATATTTATTCATGACCTGTATCCCTTGAACAATATTTATTCATGGCATGTATCCCTTGAACAATACTTATTCATGGCATGTATCCCTTGAACAATACTCATTCAGGGCCTGTACCCCTTGAACAATACTCATTCATGGCATGTACCCCTTGAACAATACTTATTCATGGCATGTATCCCTTGAACAGTACTCATTCAGGGCCTGTACCCCTTGAACAATACTCATTCAGGGCCTGTACCCCTTGGGCAATACTTATTCATGACCTGTATCCCTTGAACAATACTTATTCATGGCATGTACCCCTTGAACAATACTTATTCATGACCTGTATCCCTTGAACAATACTTATTCATGGCATGTATCCCTTGAACAATACTTATTCATGGCATGTACCCCTTGAACAATACTCATTCAGGGCCTTTACCCTTGAACAATACTTATTCATGGCATGTATCCCTTGAACAATACTTATTCATGGCATGTACCCCTTGAACAATACTTATTCATGGCATGTATCCCTTGAACAGTACTCATTCAGGGCCTGTAGCCCTTGAACAATACTCATTCAGGGCCTGTACCCCTTGGGCAATACTTATTCATGACCTGTATCCCTTGAACAATACTTATTCATGGCATGTACCCCTTGAACAATACTTATTCATGGCATGTATCCCTTGAACAATACTCATTCAGGACCTGTACCCCTTGGGCAATACTCATTCAGGGCCTGTACCCCTTGGGCAATACTTATTCATGGCATGTATCCCTTGAACAGTACTCATTCAGGGCCTGTACCCCTTGGGCAATACTTATTCATGACCTGTATCCCTTGAACAATACTTATTCATGACATGTACCCCTTGAACAATACTTATTCATGGCATGTATCCCTTGAACAATACTCATGCAGGGCCTGTAATCCTTGAACAATACTTATACATGGCATGTATCCCTTGAACAATACTTATTCAGGGCCTGTACCCCTTGAACAATACTTATTCATGGCATGTATCCCTTGAACAGTACTCATTCAGGGCCTGTACCCTTGAACAATACTCATTCAGGGCCTGTACCCCTTGGGCAATACTTATTCATGACCTGTATCCCTTGAACAATACTTATTCAGGGCCTGTACCCTTTGAACAATACTTATTCATGGCATGTATCCCTTGAACAATACTCATGCAGGGCCTGTAATCCTTGAACAATACTTATTCATGGCATGTATCCCTTGAACAATACTCATTCAGGGCCTGTACCCCTTGAACAATACTCATTCAGGGCCTGTACCCCTTGGGCAATACTTATTCATGACCTGTATCCCTTGAACAATACTTATTCATGGCATGTACCCCTTGAACAATACTCATTCAGGGCCTGTACCCTTTGGGCAATACTCATTCAGGGCCTGTACCCCTTGAACAATACTCATTCAGGGCCTTTACCCTTGAACAATACTTATTCATGGCATGTATCCCTTGAACAATACTTATTCATGGCATGTACCCCTTGAACAATACTTATTCATGGCATGTATCCCTTGAACAATACTCATTCAGGGCCTGTACCCCTTGGGCAATACTCATTCAGGGCCTGTACCCCTTGAACAATACTTATTCATGACCTGTATCCCTTGAACAATACTTATTCATGGCATGTATCCGTTGAACAATACTTAGTCATGGCATGTATCCCTTGAACAATACTCATTCAGGGCCTGTACCCTTGAACAATACTTATTCATGGCATGTATCCCTTTAACAATACTTATTCATGGCATGTACCCCTTGAACAATACTTATTCATGGCATGTATCCCTTGAACAGTACTCATTCAGGGCCTGTACCCCTTTAACAATACTCATTCAGGGCCTGTACCCCTTGGGCAATACTTATTCATGACCTGTATCCCTTGAACAATACTTATTCATGGCATGTACCCCTTGAACAATACTTATTCATGGCATGTATCCCTTGAACAATACTCATTCAGGACCTGTACCCCTTGGGCAATACTCATTCAGGGCCTGTACCCCTTGGGCAATACTTATTCATGACCTGTATCCCTTGAACAATACTTATTCATGGCATGTACCCCTTGAACAATACTTATTCATGGCATGTATCCCTTGAACAATACTCATTCAGGGCCTGTACCCCTTGGGCAATACTCATTCAGGGCCTGTACCCCTTGAACAATACTTATTCATGACCTGTATCCCTTGAACAATACTTATTCATGGCATGTATCCGTTGAACAATACTTAGTCATGGCATGTATCCCTTGAACAATACTCATTCAGGGCCTGTACCCTTGAACAATACTTATTCATGGCATGTATCCCTTTAACAATACTTATTCATGGCATGTACCCCTTGAACAATACTTATTCATGGCATGTATCCCTTGAACAGTACTCATTCAGGGCCTGTACCCCTTGAACAATACTCATTCAGGGCCTGTACCCCTTGGGCAATACTTATTCATGACCTGTATCCCTTGAACAATACTTATTCATGGCATGTACCCCTTGAACAATACTTATTCATGGCATGTATCCCTTGAACAATACTCATTCAGGACCTGTACCCCTTGGGCAATACTCATTCAGGGCCTGTACCCTTGGGCAATACTTATTCATGACCTGTATCCCTTGAACAATACTTATTCATGGCATGTATCCCTTGAACAATACTCATTCAGGCCTGTAATCCTTGAACAATACTTATACATGGCATGTATCCCTTGAGCAATACTTATTCAGGGCCTGTACCCTTGAACAATACTTATTCATGGCATGTATCCCTTGAACAATACTCATTCAGGGCCTGTAATCCTAGAACAATACTTATTCATGGCATGTATCCCTTGAACAATACTTATTCAGGGCCTGTACCCCTTGGGCAATACTCATTCATGGCATGTATCCCTTGAACAATACTTATTCAGGGCCTGTACCCCTTGGGCAATACTCATTCATGGCATGTATCCCTTAAACAATACTTATTCATGGCATGTATCCCTTGAACAATACTTATTCATGGCATGTATCCCTTGAACAATACTCATTCAGGGCCTGAAATCCTTGAACAATACTTATTCATGGCATGTATCCCTTGAACAATACTTATTCAGGGCCTGTACCCCTTGGGCAATACTCATTCATGGCATGTATCCCTTGAACAATACTTATTCAGGGCCTGTACCCCTTGGGCAATACTCATTCATGGCATGTATCCCTTAAACAATACTTATTCATGGCATGTATCCCTTGAACAATACTTATTCATGGCATGTATCCCTTGAACAATACTCATTCAGGACCTGTACCCCTTGGGCAATACTCATTCATGGCATGTATCCCTTGAACAATACTTATTCAGGGCCTGTACCACTTGGGCAATACTCATTCATAGCATGTATCCCTTGAACAATACTCATGCAGGGCCTGTAATCCTTGGACAATACTTATTCATGGGCTCTACATTGTAAGTGTTGATCTATATTTTTAGATCAAATTTTGTCATTCACGTCATTTCGCTACAAACATAATCTCATACAACGTTATTAAGCTACCAAAATCACCCCGTACAACGCCATTTAGCTACATACATGTACCTCGTTACATCGTCATTTATCTACGAACATCACCCTGGAGAGATTTAGCTCAATACAGGATTGGAGCAGTACCTCTAGACGCTTGCAGAAATCACGATCACAAAATAGACAAATATCTTTTTTTTTAATATTATATTTTTAAATATTTTTCCTTGATCACGTATTTGATTCTGTGTGAGAAGATGAATTAGACCTGTTACAGTTCATTCCGTTGGGTAAAAATACTAAAGTAATAAAGACTAAATACTAAATAATAAAGATTTTAGCATTTTATCATTCAAGCGCCTTGTACGGTATATACCGGAATACGGTATTTAGTGTGGTGCTCCAATCCTTTTTTTAGTCACAGCCACCCCGTAAAACGTCATTTAGCTACAAACATCACCCCGTACAACGTCATTTAGCTAGGAACATCACCCCGTACAACGTCATTTAGCTACGAACATCACCCCATACAACGTCATTTAGCTACGAACATCTCCCCATAAAACGTCATTCAGCTACGAACATCACCCCGTAAAACGTCATTTAGATACGAACATCACCCCGTACAACGTCAATTATCTACGAAAATCACCCCGTACAACGTCATTTATCTACGAAAATCACCCCGTACAACCCCTTTAATTGCATGTTGGTACAGAAAATGGCGATAATTCAAAATCTTACCCCGTATCCGACAGACACATTAAGTAATTGAAGACAGTAGTTGCTGGTATGAGATTTTTCATACAACGTTATTTAAGATTCATTAGTCTTAAGTGATGTTTTGCTGTTAGAGGATGCAATTTTACTTATTGCCGTGAAAAGGTTCCACGAAATTCCGTGACTTGTTCAATGATTGTCAATGATAAGTTGAAAATTTATGGTGGCATACTATTGTAATTGTACCGTATCATATTACGATAACGCGTGAGGTTATGGTAAGATATTCCACAAATTACAGTTGATCACAGACATTAAGTCAAATGGTTATTTTGTCTCTCACATGTAATTCAGAAATGAAGTAGAGTTAGTAGTCGGTCATTTGCAGAACAATCTTTTAAATTAGTTATTCAGGAAACCGTAAACATGTACATGTATTCTTAATTTTGTATTGTTAAATATAATCATTTATTGAAACAAATTTATGAAAATAAAACAACTTGGGCCACGTTCCTCATTTTTTAAGTATCTGTTCCTAAAATTGAGCTTTTTAAGAGAAGATAACTAAAGAAATTATGGTTATTCCAAAGATATGCAATAGATATCAAATTTCCATCCTGAATACTATACTATACTCAGAAAGAAAAAAACTATTTAAAAATGTGTTATCTTAATTATGCATAATAATATTTTTATGAATGTTTCATTTATGCTTCATTTGGTGGTCAGTATTGATTTGGCAAATCGATGCCATATCGATGCAAGAAAATTTAATATGAATATTTTGAAATGCATATGTACTTTGTAAAAACGTTTCAGTGTAAAGTGAGTTTAAGTATTTATACGTGTATTTTGTTATTTATTTCCTTTGATAGTGACGAATTTATTATATATATTTTTCTGTTGCTCATTTTGGCCATAATTTAATCTCTTCAGGCAACATATTTTGACTATTTTATCATTTACTAAATTTATTTGCAAATTCCTTTACATATGCAAAGTAAATGCGTTACGTACCCAAATGCAATTCAATGTCAATACAATTAATTATATGTTGCATTATTTGTATTAAGTAGGTGTCCTTAAAAAGGTATTCAAAAAATGTATATTCATGTATATAATTTATGTAATTGTTATTATAATTATTAAAAAATATTCTTTTCTTACCATAGTCAAAGAAAATCCAAAGAGCACAGAGAGCTTCTCCAAATGGCCAGTACCCTAGGACAGTATGTGTAGCCATAAAACTCATCGCAGTCACGGCAACAGCTACGTCAGTAATCGCCAAATTTACTATATAATAATTAAAAGTCGTCTGCAACTTTTTATTCATTTTTACGGCAATCAACACAAACACGTTTCCAATAATTGTCACGAGCGTAATTGCGTACAGAAGAAGCGCAACAAGGGCTTTGTCCCAAGTGATACGGGAACCCGTCGAAATTAAAGACGAATTAGTAAAATTTAATCCGGACGACATTTTGCTTTGCAGACGACTTCTGAGTCTATGGTGGCGATATCTGCGAATCTAGCTTAATAATCTGCCGTAGTGTAGCTTATTTGTTACTTACGAGAGCTCACCTTTCATTTATCCAATAATTTTCATGACTTATGTGTAGATTGAACATGTTTCATATTGTTATAAAAAGGTGATGCTTATGTTACATATATCTATATAAAAATACAGGTTAATTTACACATATACAAATGTAACAATGCTTTAAGTTAGATGATCAAATAAGCTATCTATTAGATGCATTAGGCCTATAATAATATTGATATTAGTAAATATTAAATATGATTTTAATAATTGGATTATTATATAATGTTATTAATTAGATGTATATAATGTTGTAAATTAGACGGTAGACTAGTATATATAGTAAAATGTTATTAATTCGATCATTATAATACAATGAGAAGACAATTTGTATATTGATATGAAGTTGTTATTTATTTGACTATATACGTTATTTAAACATGAGTGTATATACATGTATAATAATAACATCAGTTATAAGATGAGTGTCATTTATAATACTAAATTTTTTTTATTATATGACTGATCATGTATCATAATGTTATTATTTCGATGTGTTCATAACGGCATTGTTATTACTTAGAAGTAGAAATGTTCATTATTGAAGTGTTTGTTATTTTAGGGACCGTTAGAAACCACATAAGAAAGACAATGTAGATAATTGAAGCTTTTTCATAAGTTTTCAAAATAACAAACAAAAAACAAACCAACAAAAAACAAACAAAAAACAAACCAACAAAAAACAACAACAAAAAAAATCTCATATATAAATCAATCTTTGGTTGTGGTACCTAAACGATATGCACAATTTCGGAATTAATTTCTGCTTTTAATTTTTTTCATTTGTATATGTACATTATGTATAAAACACAAGTTTTCTCAATGTGGTTGTATCACGTGTTCTTACTTTATTTTTGTAATATTTCTTTTATGGCTAATTTGGCTAAACCCCACACACAGACACACATACACACCTCCTCTTGCGTTAGTAAATTAAAACATAGAACTTTACGTTTTTTGTTGTACATTGTTAATTGTATAATTATGTAATTGTATTTGAAAAGGTGCCGCTCAACATTTATAAGTGCTTTGAATTTTTTTTAAAGAAACGACATTCTTCCTATGCGTATTGTTGGCTGCAACATTCAATATGTCTTCGCTTAAACATTTTCAGAGATATGCAATAGATTGTAAAAAAAATATACTCAGAAATGAATGAATTGTATTGAATTCAAAACATTTTCTGTCACGCCGCTTTTCATGGAATGGCACTACTGTGTCACATTGAAGGTTCCATGATAACCGCCGTATGAACACATCTGCGGATGTTTCTAAATTCAAAATTTCATCATCTTCGTGTTAAATGTTGAATACTGCTGAAGCCGGTGCTACAAGGCGTGGACGGTAACTTGCACTTTCCAGTACCGTCCATGAACAGGCTCAATCAAACCGAGCCTGCAACACTTTCAATTTTGTTGTGTTGCACTTTTTTTAGGGACTCTGTTTTTCTCTATTTTTTTCAGAAATATCAAGGACCTAGCAAACACATGTCAGAACAGTACAACATATTTGACATACTTCGTCGTCTGGAGACATCAAACACTAAATGGCATTTCGGATATATTGACGACGGCATGGTCAAAAATTTACAAAATACACACTTATTTTGAGTCTTATGCGAAATTCTTTAGGGCAATTTGGAGCCTGTATAAAATTATATAATGCCAAGAGTTTATTACAGAACGGGCAGACGACATTCTTGTATATTGTCTCATATTTTAGAGATAATTATAAAATATATTGATTCAGGTGTCACAGTATTATTATATACAATCAGAGGGTATAAAGAGCGTATCACAATAGAGCTAATTGACACAAATCTTAACTAGTTTAAAATTGATATACGAGGTATGATCAAAAAGTTCTCGGCCCGATATACTTCTAGACACTACACTGACATTTACACTCGATACCTTATGATAAGTAATAGAAAGAGCACCGAAACACGAGGCTATCTGATTTGTATGAGGGGGCGTAGCCCCCGAGTATAAATCAGATTGCCGAGTGTTTTGGTGTTCTTTCTCTTTTGTATCATAGTCAAATATAAAAACACGTTCCCTGTTGTCACAATTTTAAACCCCGGGAAAAAGTAACCAATGATCGAGCATCTGAATATGATATTTCTGCCGCTTTCCCTTTCTCTGCCGTCACAATATGTAAACCCCAGCAAAAATGAGCCAATCAACGGGCATGATCTGGAGTGCGGGTAACTGATACCTGCACTCCAGTTACCGCACTGTGCATGTATATGTATACGATTTAACTCTGACACTTTTTCAACAGAAAGGCCCCCAAACTATGATACAATGATATCTTATTGAAGATACAAGCAACTGACCGAGTTACACGCGGTTTAACACAGATAAACATAAAACACACTTTGATCAGTACAGGGGTGTGTCATTTCGACCAATTGGAGAAATCAGAGCCGCCTTTAAGTACCTGTGTAAAGAAAGGGATATCATAAGGAAATCAATGAAGACTTCATGGATACACTTCGGAAGGAGTCTCCTTCCTATAGCACTGTGAAAAAATGGGCTGCTGAATTTAAGAGGGGTATGGAGAGCATTGGAGATGATGAGCGGCATAGGCGGCCAAAAGAGGCCACCACCGATGACAATGCCGAAGCTGTGCATGATCTGGTCATGTGCGACAGAAGGCGAGTCCTGCGAAGCATTGCTAGGGAAGTGGGTATAAGCTCTGGTTCTGTTCAGGCAATTCTGACTGAAGTCTATGGCATATCGTTGGTTTCCGCTAGATGGGTCACCAGACAGTTGACAGGCGACCAGAAACGGACCAGGCTTGATATTTCATGATATCTTTGGACTCGCTACGAGGATTATTCTGATTTTATCTGCATGATCGTAACTCAGGATGAAACATGGGTCCATCACTTCGATCCAGAATCCAAAAAACAGGACATGCAGTGGAAGAACCCTAACTTACCCCCTTCAAAGATATGCAAAAGGGTTGCCAGCAGCAGCGAAGATGATGTCTTCAATTTGGGATAGTCAGGGGATAATCACAATTAACTATCTTTAGCACAGTCGTAACATAAACACGTAAAAGGAATGGCAAACTGACGCAAGGCGTTCTTCTCCTGCACCACAATGCGCCAGCTCACACATCCCAAATTGCGATGGCTGCTGCAACTGACTGCAGGTTTGAATTCTTCCCCATCCCCTGATCTCCGGACTTGCCCCCCTCTGACTTCTACCTGTTTCTAAGCTTCGTGGTACACGTTTTGGAAGCAATGAAGGTGTCAGGAGGCGGCCAATGAGCTCTTTGAGGACAAATATAGAGAGTTATATTTTGAAGCGTTAAACAAGTTGGAGCATATGTGGACAAAGGGCGATTATATTGAAAAGTAAGACCATTAGTTGGTTTCTCTGACTGCCGAACCAAGAATTGTTTTATCAATCCTCGTATATTGCATGGGTTATACATGTGTATATGATAAAAAGGTATTTGTTCACGGTTTATTATTTGTTTCTGAATGTATTTTGAAACACGCTAATACAATACGGAATATTATGCTGTTATAGCTTTCTATGGCCATTTATTTTGCTACGATCAATTGTCCTATTGTGCTATAAGCAAAAACATGTCCTCAAAAAGCTATTACAACATGATTATCCTTTTATTATATACATTAACAATTTCAGTCTAAAAGAAGACTGACGAATGAATACGTAATGTTGCTAACCACTGATTACAATGTGCTATAAGTAATAGAAAGAGCACCGAAACACGAGGCTATCTGATTTGTACGAGGGGGCGTAGCCCCCGAGTATTAATCAGATTGCCGAGTGTTTTGGTGTTCTTTCTCTTTTGTATCATAGTCATAACATAAAAGCACGTTCCCTGTTGTCACAATATGAAACCCCGGCAAAAATGAACCAATGAAAAACATCTGAATATGACATTTCTGTCGCTTTCCCTTTCTCTGCCGTCACAATATGTAAACCACAGCAAAAATGAGCCAATCAATGGGCATATGCTCTGGAGTGCGGGTAACTAATACTCGCACTCCAGTTAATGCACTGTGCATGTATATGTATACGATTTAACCCTGACACATTTTCAACAGAAAGGTCTCCAAACTATGATACAATGTATATAAAAGATCAGTGGAAGCAAATTATAAAACGTTGGTTTAAGTTTTCGTCACATACCGCAGATATATGGGGTAAAAGTAGTTGGCAAACGTATCTACATTAAATGCGAAATATTACATAATCGCAGAGTAATTATACATGGTTAACATTCTAGGTACTTTCATATCATAAGCATATAAAGACAAGAAATTAATCAGTTATAATTTTCTTTATTATTGAATGTTTTTGTTCTTTATTTACTTCACATTGCCTTATAGTTTTCTTTAGATTTGTCTGGAGAAGTGCCTTGAAATCTAGATTTATGTATGACTAGTTTTTAAAAATTGTATTTTCGGACGAAGTCCGTCTGAGATCGGTTTAATTTCATTTAAAATTTACCGGAAAGAACTGAATATTAGAAGGATGTCCATTGGTAATTATTAAATTACAAACTGAAATCCAGGAACGTCATTGGTCATTCTAAAATTAGAATAAAAATCTAAAGGATCTTTTTGAAAGGTAAACACGTCCATATTATAAAATAATCTAAAGGAGTATTGGAAAAAACTTGTCCAGTTAAATTTCTCGAATATTTGAAATCTGTGAATTTCCTCCCAATAAATATTGCATCTGCTTAAAACATTTTCCTTAATTCTCCCGTGAATATCTTATTCAGCATAAAAATGATAAAAACAGAGTTATAATTTGCATTTTAAACTGACGAGACTACCAATAACGTCCACGGTCCCGGAAAAAGCAACATGTGCATATTTGAAGAAACAA